TTTTAGCAATCAGGAGCCCGCCTAGAGAACAGAGGCATTTATCCCAAGTTTTGGCAGTCAGGAGCCCACCTGGAGAACAAGGGAATATTTCAAGTTTCAGCGGTCAGGAGCCCGCCTGAAGAACAAGTGAATACTGTTTAAGCGTCTGCAGTCAGGAGCACACCTGGAAAATGGACACATGTTTCAAAGGGTAACAATGGCAACAATATCGCCAATCACAGTGCAAAACAACAACAAGAATACCATCGGAAGATTACAAGATACAAGTTCAAGGCAACACAAGAACAAGTTAGAAGACATAGATAGGACCCTTTTGTAATTCATAGATCGTAAGCTTAGTCTAGCTTCTTTTTATTTTGACACGGTGTAATAAGGAGGTCAGTGAGCAGTAGCATCAGCAACAGCAGAAAGTCACAGCTCCTGGTAGTCCCAGCTACCAAACCTTCCCGAACTACACTGACCCGATTCCTTTTTAGCCAAGGATATGTAGGCAACCTTTGAAGCAGGGCGCGGTCAACTCTTTCAAAAATGCTTCATACGGAATATGCAAACGGGCAAAAATCGCTCATTTCCGCTCACTTGTCTTTGCACGAAAACTCTTTGTGTCTTCGGGGAAAGAGGGGCAGCTGTGAGCACGTGATTTTTTCCCTATATATGAATTATTCCCAAATTCAAACAATATAATTTCTTTTCATTATTTGCAATTTTTTTGAATTTTGTGGCATTTTTTGTGTTAATTGTTTGCATTTGTTTGTGCATGTTTATTTTATTTAATTCATGAAAAATACAAAAGATATGTTGCATTTGCATTTAGGATTTAATTTGGCATTTTTAAATTAGTTAGTAATCTATTTGTGTTACAAAAATAGAAAATCACAAAAAATAACGCATTTTGCATTTAGCTGCGAATCTTGCAGTTTTCTTTTAATTTGGTATTTAATTAGTTGTTGTAAATATTATTTTGAACATTAATCTAATTTGGTAGGATAATTTTGGTTTAGAATTAATGTAGGTTTTATTTAGAAAAGAAAGAAAAAGATTTGAAATTGAAAAGAAATGGAAAAAAAAAAGAATAGACATATAAGTCTGATTGGGCCATCTTTAATTTCCAAACCCCAGGCCCAAACGTTCCCCCCAAACCCACTCCCATACCCGTCCAAACTGGCCCACGACCCGCCCCCAGAACCCGGTCTTTCCCCCCAGCAATCCAAAACGACCCCGTTTTTAACAGACCAAATCAGCACCGTTGATCTCTGTTGATCTAACGGTCCGGAACTGGGGTTTGTTTAATATTTATATGTCCGAACCTCTACCCCCCCACCCCTTCATCTCTCTCTCTCACCCCATCCCTCAGAGACCCACCGTAACACCACCGTCTACCACCGTCCCTCCGCCGTCCGCCGCCGGCCGGAAATCGCTCACAGCGGCGGTCGGCGTCCAAATCATCCCAAATTTACACCCTAGAACCAGCGTTCTCTCCTCTTTCCAACCCCCGTCTTGGTTTGTCTCGAATCCCACTCCAAAGCGTCGAATATTAGATCGAAGATTTTTCCGGCCATGACACAACTTCTCCCAAATCGGTCTAAATTAACACCCTAGGTCCCTTTCCCCTTTCCCTATCCAAATCCCCGGTTAGTTTCTCTCGAATATGCCTGGAATTGGTCGAATCTCAGTTTGAATATTTTCCGGCCAAGACCCAAAGTATGCCAAATGGTCCCAAATCGATACCCTAGGTTCATCTGAGTCTCCTCTACCCAACCCCCATAGCCACTTGTCTCGAATCTGCCCGGAACGTTACGAATTTTAAGTCCCAAAGTCCGGCAGAACCCTAACTTAGAAATCTTGGGGATTTTGGACCGTAATTTCCCTAATCACGTGTTTTCTTTTGAAAACACACACGATTAGGGATGTTACGTGTCAAGAATCCAGGAGGATTCAAACAACAGATAGCCGGTCAAAGTTCGTTCCATGGTCAGTCGAATGCTCAAAATCGGTAAGTTTGGTTCGATTCTGTCTTTGATTATGTGTGTGTTTTCGTCTTGTTCTTGTAATTGTTCTTAGCTTTAGCTTAATTTTGTTGGCTTGATTTAATCCTGTTCTGTTAAACCTTAGGTTTTAGTTTTAATTTTTTTTCGTTTTGAGGTTCATCGTCATAATTCTTCATTAGTCGTCTTAGTCAATTCTGTCTAGGATTTGCTGGTTTTAATTTTTGTTCTAATGTTGGAGTAAGTCAGTAGATTTTTCTTTCATTTAATTAATGCTTCTTAATAATAATTGATGCTGACTTTAGTCTTTAGTTTTTGGTTCAATTTTGCTTTGATTTTCTGCCAGTCGAGTGAGTAAGTCATTAATGATTCGACTCCAGTTCAATTTGGTTTGAACCATTGACTTGTTTGGTGAATTAGCTTAGTCTGGATTAACAATTTAGTTAGAAATTCCATGTTCTGATCAATGGGTTGAGTAGTTAGTTCAACTGTAGGGTTTGTTTGGTTTTAGCTGAATTCCTCTGTTCTTTTGGGTAATTAACCATGATTACTACTAAGGTTAAGGGGCTGGGTCAGGTAATTCTAGCTTGGTCAGTAATTTCAGGGGATTCAAAGGGTAGTTTAGGCATGGAAAAGGGTAGTTTCATTAAGATTGGTAATTGTTGAAGTAAAGTAAGGGTAGAATAGGAATTGTAATGGGTATAGAACCTTCTAGGATGGACTATAGTGCATATTTCAGTAAACTTAGGGTAGTTACTTGTGTGACAAGTCAGAAAATAAAGGATAAAAAATAGAATTAAATAGGGACCAATGGGGTAAAGGGAAAATCTGAAATTGGACCTAAGCTCACCTATAAATAGGCATTCATTTGCCTTGATTCACAAGTTTTTCAGCTCCAAAAATCCCCCCCAGAAAATTTCCTCTCCAATTTCAAATCTGATTTGAAATTCAAACCTTCAAAAATCCAAAAACAATAGAAATCTAATAGAAAAATCCCAAAAATTACTGTTACATTAGTGTTACTTAGGTCATTTTCAGATTCGCTCATTGAATTCAATTCTCTAGCTCATATAGGATGAAAGCAACTTGAATTTCCTTGTGTTTTGTTCAATATTTGAGGGTTGAAGACAGTTTGAGTCATCTAGGCAGTGGATTTGGGAGATTCGAGTCAACTGTGATCCTAGTTTGAGTGTTNGAACTTATTCCTGGGTTGCTGCTGAGAACTGTTACTGCTGCTGATCTTTCTTCTTCTTATTGATCACTGACTTCCAGGTACACGCCTGAATCTACTCTGCTGTAACTTTGAGCTTGAAATGGAATACAATTACTCACCTATTTGATCCTGAAATATGTTGCCTGGACTGTGGGGTGTTGGTAGTTAAATAGGCGTTAAATTTAATTGTACAGCATAGTTTAGAATCGATTTGTATGTGTATAAATCTGGACTGTATAATAAGACTGGATCAGACTGTTTTCGATACCGTTGAGACATTTGGAATTGATTGTGGTTTATGTTCTCAATATCTGAATACTGCTTATAAAGGTTAGAACTAGAAGTCCTGAATATGAGCCTGTTTTATTGTAAAACTGCGGCCCCGTTGTATTAATTCGAATAGGCCTGTTAATATTAAGTCAGGGTATTTGCACTACTCATGCTGAGCTTACACAACTCTAACAGTCTATTGTAATTGATGGCCACTCTAGTGTACCAGTCACATTCTTTGCATGTAACTCGCAATATGATGCTTCCTCTGGTGTGATTTTCACCGTTAGTGACATATAGGAACGCACCAGTAGGCAAATAAGTAAGTATACTTTGTTCTTCCTTGTATAAGTCATTGAATATAATTAAAATAGCCTGGAGTAACTCAGCAGATTTACATTTGCTGATTTGAGGTGCTGATTGGTTTGGCATAGGCCCAGGCCCAGTTTTGACTCCATTCTCGTTTGGGCCTGGACCAAGGCATTTGATGGACCAGTTGAAATCGTGCAGACCTGAGTGTATTTTCCTCTTGTTGGGCTTATCTTAGAGCCCAATGGCTGGACTGTGATGCATAATTACCATCTAGTCTAATAATGAATTAAGTAAGACTTTCCCTCCATTACTAGAGACAAGTAAAATAAAGAACCATAGTTATTTTTAGGTTTGCCTTTAAATAATAAATGAGATGAGCCTCGCCAAGCAAAATACACAAATTACGAGGCCCTCAATAAATATTTTATTAATTTTTAGAATTCGGGTGAACCGTTTAGCGAATTTTATGGTTTTCCCCAAAGATAATAAAAGCGTAGCTACTTTAGGCGCGTATTTTAATAATATTACCTTCCTGAATGCGGGTGCACATTTATGTGACCCAAATCTAAATCTCAACGGAGTCGAAATGCGTCAAAAGCCACGGGTGCACTGGTGTAACGTGGTTCGAGATACATTTTCACGACGTTGCAATTCTTATTAAAAAGACATAAAGTAAAAGCGGTTAAAATAAAAGGCACATAGGTTAGAATATGTTTTAAAATCAGATAAAAGCAAATACAACAGTTGAGCGACCGTGCTAGAACCATGGAATCCGGGAGTGCCTAATACCTTCTCCCGGGTTAACAGAATTCCTTACTCGGAGTTCTGGTTCGCGGACTGTTAACAGAGTCATAATTTCCTCGGATCGGGATTCAACCGGTGACTTGGGACACCATTAATCTCCTAAGTGGCGACTCTGAATATTAATAATAAATCCCGTTCCGACTGTCCTTTAATTGAAAAAACTCCTTTACACCCTCACAGGTGTAGAAAAAAGGAGGTGTGACACCTCCGTTTCATATTAAATGAGGTAGCTTGACCCGTCACGGAGTTTAAGAAAAAAGAAGAAGACTTTTGAAACTTGTGGTCTTAAAAGTTTAAGGGGTAAAAAGTTTGTGGAGCCATGGCATTTGTGTGACTATAAAAGCTTCTCATTAAGGGTAAATGGGTAAAATAAAAAAGTTTAAAATTAAATTATTTTCAAATTTAAAAATGTATCATTAGAATAACAATTTCTGATTGACCAAAACTACAAAATCAGGACATCAATGGAATTCTAGAATCTTTCTAGAGAACATCATTGCAGAATCACAACCATCAAATCAAACATTTATCCAACGGCCATCAATCAACCCTAGCTCCACTAAGAAAAAAACAAAACCCCTCCATCAAGAAACCAACCCCCTTCCAGTCGGGGCGGCTAACCTACACCCAGTGTCCCAAGAACCAAGACCCACAGCATACTTTAATCCAATTTACCTCTAGCCACGTAGCGTGATATTTGCCCACCATTTCAACGTTTCTCAAAAGCTGGGCCCCCATTAGACCTTACCAATTGGAATTTACCTCAACCAGGAACTAGAGCACTGCTCACAAATCAACGAGTTTACTTTCAACACACCACAAAATTTATTCAAGAAGGATTAGATAGACACATCTGCTGAAATATCTGTATATTTACATTTTGATTACGGGAGGAATAAAACCAAAGAAAACATATGTATAACCACTCTAACAAGCAAGCCAAGAGTCACAGTATCTGATTTTCCATCATACTATGTATTATACTACTACTATTAACTTATTATCTAAGCCCAACTCTTAACTTGTAACCCTTTTAGTCCCCTTCACATTTTCTTATTCCAACTTCCACCCTCCAACTTTTCCCTTCATATACTAGTAGCACTAAAACTATATACAGTAGTGCTCTATCAAACACTGGCCTTTTGGTGAGAAAGCACTAGTGTTTTAAGGGAATTGGAGGAGCTGCATTCTGATTACTAATACGTGGTGCTGATATGCTAATTAGGAGCAACTGAAGGTGTCTTGAACTTGGACTTGATTAACTTAATATCCTATAACTAATCCTCCCATTGGGGCTCGATGTGGAATTCCCTTTCTTCGTTTGGCTGTTCTGTAATTAACCGAAGCTTGAGGGGGCGTTGACGGACTGAAACTTTGAACCTTGTTTCGCCGGCTATGATTGCTGCTACTGTAAGAGTCCTCCGAGTCAAAGGCTGCTGCTGTCACCGCCGCCGCCCTCTTCTTCTCCGATGACTTCTTCACGAAATTCTGTGATGTCCCAACAATCTATAAAAAAATACAAATTAATCACAACATCCCAGGAATTGCTAATGGGGAATATATTAAAGGAAATGGTTAAAAACAATCTATCCCCAATCTCAAAACCCCAATTGTTAACTTTTCTGTAAGTGTTCCGTTTTCCCAAAAGACCTGTTGATAATGCCAAAGTTTGTTGCCAATAATGGATGAGTGGAATTTCCACACTAGCATTTAATAGCTTCTTCACATTTTGTCAAAAGCAAACAGCAATTGAGAATAACCTTTATGGTATTCAGGACCCAAATATTCAATTTAATGACCATTAAAAGTCAAAATAAAGGCAATAAAATTTAGTGCAGGGGGGGTACGAATGGAGCAACAAGCAATTAGTAAGTAATTACCTTACAGCCAAGAGAGCAGAATCTGAAGGAGTCGAGGAGACTCCTTTCACAAACTTGACAGGTATTAGTGACACCTTTGCCTGGCCTAGGTTGTGGCCTCTCATTCAAGAAGACAACCTTTGCACTGTTGATAATGTAGGTCTGAACTGAAGTGATGTCCAAATACTTCTGTATCTCGTTCACCCTTATCACATCATGGTAAGATGACCTCCTTATCTGTTCCAAAAACAGAGCAACCCACATTCAGTCAACGGTGAAAAAAAATGGCAGATACCAACCCCTGAAATTGAAGAATACCTGAATGGCACGATGTTCCTTGTGATGAGATAAACAAAGAGAGCAGAGAGCGCCATTCATACAGTCCAAACAGTACATATTGCATTCACTCTTGTGGGAATCAGCATGTAACTTGCATTGAACAAAGAAACGTTCCTTTAACAATGGCTTCAACCATGGTGGCCACCTATTCTCTTCTTCATCTGGCCCTCCAGCTCCCTACACATTTTAACACTATCAGCAAAATTAAAACACAACAAATATTGATTAATCGACAACCCCAAAATATTTTTACCATGATTCGCCTGTTCTTAGGCTTGAATTCACGGACACTTGTTTCTTGATTGTCGATCGCCAGCTTGAATGAAACTGTTGTTAGTAGTAACGCTCTGTATTGGTGAAGAGAAAAATTTTTGGTTTGTGAAATATAGGAATTGGAGGCGGTGTGAGTAATATGAGGGTACTTGTAAGGGGAGGGAAAGAAGGTCGCGTGGGTGGGTGGGTTCAGGAGGGAGGGGGGTCGTTCTTATCCTTTCAAAGGTCATACACACATAAACAAAGTTTCCGAAGCAAGCTCCGAGGCTAAACCTAGAGATACGTTGGCTGCAAGGAACCGACCTCCTTCTTTCCTTTTATTTTCCCTTTCATTTTCATGTTTTACATATTCTTGTTTAGGTCTTATCTTAAATAAATAATCGTATTTTTCTTTTATTCTTTATATTATTGATTATTGATATTGATGTTCACTAAATAATCATGTCGATTAGTTTCTTTACTTTTATATCTTTTTATTTTTATTTTATCATATTTAATAGGGAGGGGAAGGTGGGTATTTTCAATAGTGAGTTGGCACATTGTTCTCTTTTAACAAATTTGGTATCTTTGGTCCATTATTGGCCATTTAGTTGGTTGTTCTAAGTGGGGTTTGTGTAAGGAACAAATATCCTTTTTACATTTAATAATCACCATCCTCCCACTTGGGAATATCATTTATTTTTACCTCATTTTCTTGCTTTTTCCTCCTATTGAAAAAAAAAGAAGAGGAATGTTTTCAAAATTTAAGAGAATCCGGGAATAAATGGTTAATTCAAATGACAAATCAATTAATGAAAAATCAGAATTTGATATCCTTGTTAAACTGTAGTGTGAGACAAAAGGAGGACGCTAATATTGTTTGACCAAAAATATAAATCTTGGTCAACTAATTAAATAATAGGGGTTAATCTTAGTAAATAATAATATCCAAAAGATGAAATTTTCGGTATGGTGATAAATAACACGTATATCTATTCCAAAAGGTTATGATGGTGCGCATAATAATGACAATATTCAAAGACCCAAAAAGAACAAATGTAGCATTAAATAGTGAAGAATAGCAATAAATGGCATTTATGTAAATAAAATGTATGGGTCACCCGAGAAAGGATGAAATCAATAGATGTTCTTTCTGAAAATGATGAATGATAGATTAACTTTTGAATATTCGAGTTATTCTCGGATCCAGGGGAGAAGTGTGGATCAGAATCTTAGTGAAAATGTCATTTTTGTATACATGTTATAAGGCTAGATTCTCTCAATAAAGTCAAAGTGTATTTTACAAATAAATATTTCATGTTCCCTATTATTGTGTCTCTTTCTATTTATAGGGAACATGTTCCTAGAAACCCTAACAGTACAAGTGCAGAGATGTCCACTAGAATATTCTCTTTAATGTCCTATCTTGAAACTAACCGTTATAACTCTGCCATGGGTATTCGACCTCGGCCTCAATCCTTGACGACTCCTCAACCTCAGTCATTGCTGACTCTTCGACCACGACCTTCATTGTTCCATAAGCCACTTGCCCGGGAGTGTTTCGCTAATGCCATCCTGACTCAAGTATTCTAGATACAGATTTTGACCCATACAGTTAGTCCCTCCGCTCATGGAGGTCGTCCCCGCGGACGAGGTCAATGAGTGGACAGTGTCATTTGTGATATAATTTTATCGAGCTGGCTATATAGCTCGTAGTCGTGGAGATAGGCAACGTGGCCTTCTGAGGCCCGCATATTTTGAATCTTTGAATTTCTTGGGAAGTCCGTTGGAGCCATCTGGTCCAAGAGAAAAGGTCACATCATGACGTCATGAGTCATAATGACGTCTTTTCACAACGTGTTGCATCGATTCAAGTGTGACCCTTGATTAGCTCTGCTGTTTCGGTCTTTGTGCTAATTATGGCCTACTGTTTCGAGTTTGGTTCCTTCCAAATCTTATAAATAGGGGATGGTTATTGATTTTGAAACTTTTTCCAAACTCCTCCTTCTTCTTAAGCAAGAGCTTCTCCTTCATCTTCTTCGCAGAATCCTTGCAACTCTCCAATTTTTTCAAAAGTCGTTCTCTTTTGCTTTACCATCTCTTTTCTACAACAATGTCCTTACAATCATTATATATTAGTATGGAAGATCACTTCGTTCCTTTAGACGTTGTTTTTCCCGACCAGGGGGAAGATGGCGGAACTACCGCCGAGGAGGAAAGTTTACCCACTATAGAGGAAATTGTACCTCGATATCCAGATGCCAAACCGAACTTCCATAAGGCGCCAGAAGTGGTGATGGAGCGGTTCAAATATGCGATGATGGTGGACTGATTAGCTGAGCTCAAGGTTAGATTTGGCCTACTTGGTCACGTAGACTTGATACCAGCGGGCGATGATGAGGTTTGGGCTCACCGTGTCGGCATATGCGCTCTTTACGCATACCCATTCTTGATTGGGTACTCTTTTTCTTTACCGCCGCTGATAGAAGATTTATGTCGGTACTACAATGTGTGCTCGGCACAGCTTGCCCTTTATATCTATAAGGTGGCCATGATGTTGATGAAATTCGTCGAATTGGACGACGTCGACATTACAGTGCTCCATCTGATCCATCACCTCGCCCCTCATTTTTACTGAGGGACCTTGCCGAATCTTCGCCACCACGGAGGTAAATGCTTGGTGGTGAGGATGGATGATAAAGCTAGTCGGCACTTTTGGCTCGACTACTTCTATGTCAGGGTTGAAGATGTAGTGTCCACCGCCGCAGACTTCCCCGAGGCTTGGAACCCTACTCGTGAGTGCTTGTATCTGATCACTTGCTTTATGTTTCTAATGTTCTCCCTGTTACCGGTCGGTTAACCGGCTTTCTCCTTTTTGCAGCTACTATTCGGTCTCTTCAGATGATGACGCACATCGTTGATTGGGTTAGATAATTCCATCTCATACAGCGGAGGTGCGTGATTGGGCGAGCTTCTCTCAGATATTTAGGTCGTCTCCTCCCTCGGCAAGTAACCTTTTCCCTACCATAAATTCCTTGATTTCTTTGCTCGTTTTCCTTTGCTAATTTTCCACTTTCCTGTTTTTCCTTAGCTTTGGCCGGAGGGTGTGCAAGAAGGTCGAGAGCTCCCACGCCCTCATTTCGGAAGAGGAAGGCCACTACGTCCTTAGTTTCTGCTCCTGTTTCGACCTCGACTGATCCTATCTCTATTCCAACTCCTCCTAATGCCGCGCCCGACTTTGTTTCCACCTTGGCCATGGAGATTTAAGCTCCTCCTCTATACTCTCTCATTGACGAGGACGATGAGCCATTCCCTAGTGAAGGAGATCTCCATCCTCGAAAGAGGAGATCTTTGGATGCGGTGACAGAGTTTCTTTGGCCTTTGGTACGGTGGAAGGGGTTTTTCGCTGCATGAGATGACAACAATTTTTGTGGGAGATGATACCGAGACGAGTCTCGAGGCTTTGAGGCCAGTGGAGGTCGACACGGATGTATCCCTTCATTCCGAGGGGATGGAGACTGAGGGGGAGACTGTTAAAGTTCCTGAACCTTCATGGCAAGAATAGGCTTTGACCTCCAGGACAGCCACTGATACTTCTTTCCTGCCGATGGAAGGGACAAAAGCATCACTGAAGAGGGCGATGAGTTAGGTTTGGATGTTGAGGAGGACGACCTGAAGAAGATGGAAGAGGGGCTTACTAAGCTCGAGGTAAGGTTAGAGGAGTCCACTAGGACTATTGTGATCCCTATTGACCGTGACTTATTGGGGAACACCGAGGAGGAAGTCCCTGCCCTCGGTCCACTTTGTTCCAAAATTGAGGTCAAGACGTTTAAGGAAATAGATGACGGTGCTTTGTCGAGGAGCATTGCAGGCCTTGCTCTTAGGGTGATTGTTTGTGCTTTGACCTTTTTTTCCCATTTTTCAGGGCGTCCTTGGTTCTGACTTCTTTCTTCTCTTTCCTTTTCATGATTGCAGACGTCGATTTTGGAGATTGAGAGTGCTCGGAGGGAGATGAGGCATCAAAAAATCTTTGTAAAATTGAAAGATAAATACTTTGAGTATCACGGCACGCATCGAGATCTCCGCATGTTATATTGCGAGGACGGAAACATGCAGGCCCTTGGGGACAAGTTGAAAGAGAAGGAAGATAAGCTGGTGCAGGCCATCGGGAAGTGTAGCATCCTTGAGGGGACGTTAAGGAGTACGGAAGACGAGCTTGAAGTTAGCAGGGGTATGGAGGCCGCCCAATGCAGTGATCTTCAAGCACAAGTGGTCGAGTTGTGAGGGCAGTTAGAAGAGTGACGGATTCAGCTGGAGGCCCTCAATAGTGAGATAGCCGAGAAACAAAATGAGCTTTAAAAGGTAGAGTCTTCTTGTTTGGATGCTCGGAGGAAGTCAAAGATGCTTGAGTTGGTGAATAAGACTCTCTGAGCCGAGCGGGAGAACAATCAATCAACGGCAAGATCTAAGGAAGATCGGCTTGAGGAGAGGATCGGGGAGCTGGAGAAAGATAACTCCGCCCTTCATGATCGAGTGACCGCTTTGGAGGCCGAGAAGGCTCAATTACTTGCACGACCGTCTTCTTCCCATACTTCTGATTTTACCGATGTACCTCGGGAGTTATATGAAGAATGGATTCATGCCGAGGCCCAGTTTGATGTGTTTTGGGATTTACATGCGCCAGGTCCGTTTCTGAGGCTTCCTTTGGAGATGCTTGTGAAGCTTGAGTCGCTTGTGGATATGATCCCCCTATGCCTCAGCTGATGAGGAGGATGGGGAAGAGGGTGTGGACCGACTCGAGGAGGACGCCTAGTATGATACCGCTTATCCTCAAGGCGAAGGTGGCAATGACGACAAGGGTCGAGATGGTGAGGTCGCAAAGGCCCGTGATGGCAAGGGCCAGTAGCCTTTTTCTTAGACTTCTTTTGTATTTTGTCTTTCTCTTTAAGAGCCCTTATAATGAACTTTGAAGATTTTTGTATATGGGAAATTAAGTCGTCTCTTGTGCCTTCTTCCATACCTATTACTTGTTTTTGTGCTCATGTACTTTTCCTTTGTTATTTGCTTGTTTACAACTTTTGCTCTTTTATTATCGTTGTCATCTAGTTGGTCGTAGCCCTATTGACAATTATTTGTGGGCTGTGTCTGCCTTTTGTTTATATAAGTCAGGTGTGCTTCTTTATTTAGATTAGGCTGATAGGTGTTGTTTGAACTTGGCTGATTTTGGTCTTTTGCCAAGTCATGGCTGTGGGTCGAGCGGTGTTGTTCGAGTTGGTTCGAACTTTACCCTTTATTAAGTTGTGGCCGAGGGTCGATTGGTGTTATTCGAGCGTGGTCGAACGTACCCTTTTGTTAAATTGTGGCTGGGGGTCGATATGTATTTTTTTGAGCATGGTCAAACATAACCTAGTATTAAATCATGGCAGAGGGACGATAGGTGTTGTCCGAGCGTGGTCGAACATAACCTAGTATTAAATATTAGCCGAGGTCCGATAGGTGTTGTTCGAGCGTGGTCAAACATAACCTTATTAAATCATGGCCGAGGGCCGATAAGTGTTGTTCGAGTGTGGTCGAACATAACCTTAACACAAAAGGGTGTCCGTTAAACGTAAGTTTCTTATTACTTCGACGTTGTTGCTTTGGTTAGATATTTGGAGAGAGTTACAGATTTTTGGGGTGTTGGCTGGCATTCCAGTCCCAGTCCCAGTCTACCTAGTCCCTTCATTTTTTGACTTTGAGAGTATCGAGGAGTCAAGAAATAAAAGAGTAAAAAACATTCTCTCCCTCGCGTACTTTTACTCGAGGTGTTCCCTTCGCCGCCTCCTTAAAAATATCCTTGAGAAAACCCAAATGAGACAAAAGTCAGGTGAGGGAAAAAAAGTACGACTTGGGGGATACTTTTCTCTTAGAAGTTGAAGTATTTGAGGTGGCCGATTATCCAATTGTTTGGTAGTCGCTTTCCTTCCATTGTCTCTAATTGGAATTATCCCTTGTTTGCTTTGGCTGAGATTTTCTACGAACCGTCCCATTTTGTTCCCAGCTTGCCTTCCCGTGGGTCTTTGCTCGCTTGAGTTTTGGCTTTTGGCAGGTAGTACCTGACTTTAAGCAACGGGACCTTTGATTTCTTGTTGTAATAGCGTTTTGCTTGCTGTTTTTGGGTGACCATTCTTACGTAACCATATCTCTTAATTCATCGATTTCGTCGAGTTCCTGCCTTCTGCTTTCATCATTACTCGTACTTCTTTCGTGGGAGTACCTTAGGTTGGGTTCTCCGACTTTGACCGGTATTACTGCCTTGGTTCCATAGACCGAAGAGTAGGGCTTCTCTCCTGTGCTTGTCATCGCAGCTGTTCGGTACGCCCATAATACTTCTAGCAGTATTTCTGGCCACAGTCTCTTGGTGCCTTCGAGCTTTTTCTTCATGATGTTTAGTATTGACTTGTTGGAGGAATCTGCTTGTCCGTTACCCGCTGGGTGATATGGGGTTGAAAGTATCCTCTTGATATGCCGTTTCTCGAAGAATTCAGCGGA